GTCTAGAGCTGAGAAGTAAAATATATCAAATAAAAATTTTAGTAATTATGGTAAAAAGCAGATGAAATACTGCAAAAGGAAATATTGTTAATTTTGAAGACAGAAAAAAATGAACTATCTAATTTCAAGTACAAAGAGTAAAAAATACTGCAATAAAATCTTCACTCAAAATTATACATATATGAAAAAAGTAAAATTAAAATTATATAATAATTAGGTTATTTTATGCACAGAGTAATAGAATTTACTTTGCATTACCAAATTTTTTTGTTAACTCTTTGTGCTTTTTGACATACTCTTAAATCATTGTGAGATTCTTTATTTTAAAAAATAAGTTCTTTAAACCATTGTTGTTTATTGCTGCATGTTTATATATTATTGACTTTAAATATTTGCCTTTGGAAACTTATGATTAATGTTTTGTGTCCTCTAACAACTAGTCTTGACTTTATCTTTCCCAACTACAGATCCCAAACTCAAAATAATAAAACTAACAAGTATATTTTACACCTAAACTATTTTTCAGTTTTCTAAAATGGTCATTATGTAACACAAAGATATGCTCCTTCACGATTAAAAAAAAAAAAAGACAAAAATACAATAAGAATTACATAATGCTCCTTGACTTGCTATGCAGTTATGACATAGTAAGTTGAAAATATCATAAGTTGAAAATGCACTTAATTTCACCTAACTTACCAAACATCATAGCTTAGCCTAGCCTACATAAAATGTGTTCAGAACACTTACATTAGCGTACATTTGGGCAAAATTATCTAATACCAAGCCTATTGAATAATAAAGTGCTGATTATCTGATGTAATTCATTGCATACGGTACACTATAGAGTTCAGTATGGATCGTTGTCCTTGTGATTACTTGGCTGAAGGGAGCGGTGGCTTGCTGTAGCTGCTCAACATCATTAGAGAGTATTGTAATGCATATCACTAGTCCTGGAAACGATCAAAATTCAAAATCTGGAGTACAGTTTGCAATGCATGTGCATCACTTTGTCACCATCATAAAGTAAAAAAAAAATCAAGTTGAGCCATCACAAATTGGGGACCATCTGTAGTTGGTTTGTTTACAGGTCTCCACATTTTAATAAAGTCTCAAATTGATATAAAAGCTTTTGAAACAGCCTTATGTCGATAAATTTCACAGCATAGATGAAGTGTTATTATATATCTACTGCTGTTTAAAAATTAGTCCAAATATCAGTCACTTAAAAGAACAACTTTAATTATTAATATCTCATAGTTTCCGTGTGACAGGAATTCAGCAGAGGTTAGCTGTGTCCTCTGTTTCAGGGTGTCTCACAAAACAACAATCATAGTATTGGCCTCATTTAAAGCTTTAGCTGGGGAAAGAACCACCTCCAATCTCATATCATTGATGGCAAAATTTAGTTCCTTGCTGTTGGACTAAGGGTCTTAGTTTCACACTGGTTGTTAGGGGAAGCCTGCCCTCAGATCCCTCCCATGAGGACCTCTCCCTAGGACCTCTGACAACGTGACAGCTTGCTCCACTAGAGTGAGCAAAGAAGAGAGTCAGTGAGAGAGCAGCTGTGAAAGGCAGCTCAGAGTTTCTCATAACCTAATCTTGGAAGTAACATCCCATCACTTTTGTCATATTCCATACCTGAAAGGCAAAACATTAAGTACGCCTCACATCAAAGATTGTATGTGCGTGTGTATAAGTGTTATAGCTGTATATCCATTGCAGAAATTAGATTCATAATAAAAAAATCTTCCTACAAAGAAAAACTGTAGTCCCAGATGACTTTAATTGTGAATTCTTTCAAATATTTAAGGAAGACATAGTGTTAATCCTACATAAACTTTTTCATAAAATCACTTTCCTGCTCATTTTTTGAGTCCAGCATTACCATCGTATGAACCAGACAAAACAAGGGAAATGTAGATCACTGTTCCTCATGAATATTGATGCAAAGTTTGAGCAAAACATTAGTAAATTACTAATATAGAAGATTATACACAAAGAATTGCATTCCATTATGGAGTTTATTTCTGGAATGTAAGATTTGTTTAACCGTTTAAGATTAATCAACCACATAGGCAGAATAGAAGGGGAAAGTTTATTATTATTATTTTACTCCATAGCAACCACATTTGACAAAATTGAACAATCATTTTTTTTTGTCCTGAAGTCTCTTAGCAAACTAGAAATAGAGAAGAACTTACAAAATTTCATAAAGAGCAACTACAAAATACCTACAGTTAATACCAAATTTAAAGACTGAATATTTCCCACTAACATTAGAAAAAAAGAAAATAATATCTCCATTCTCATGACTTTCTTTGTTTCAACATTAAAAAAGATAGCGCAATAAAGCAAGAGAATGTAGACTGGAAAGGAATAATTAAATCTATTTTTTCAGAGAATATTATTGTCTATATAGAAAATAATAAATCATTTATTATAAAACTATAAGAATTTTAAGTGAATTTAGCAAGGTTTCAGGATACAAAATTCAATATGTAAAACTGACTATGTTTCTATATATTAAAGATAAGTGATTAGAAAATGGAAATTATAAAAAGGAAAAATTCATAATTTTAACAGACTCAGAAACATGAAATAGTTATAATAAAACATACATATGTATGATATGTACATTATGCTTTTGGACCTCTATTCTTATCAAATCCATGTGCATTCATTTATTTGGCAATGGTTTTACCTCTTTTATGTGAAAGCATCATATGCAATATTAATAATATAATGATTTAGTCAAGCAAAAATTGTTACTATACTAATATCTGATTAACAAGTTCCTGGCACTGGCTTTATATGCCAAGAGTTTTTGTTGTAGCATAATGTCCCTTGATGTGGGCAAAGGGTGAATAACTGCCAAACACAAGCAAGGAAAAGATTCAACAAAAGAGTTTTGAAAGACTTCAAATTATTACGCTCAGACATGTTACAGAAAAACTCCATTTAGGAGCATATATACAATGTTTTAAAAATCCATCTCATATAAAATATCCTCAAACTTACTTATTTCTTCAGGACTATTTTATTTTCCTAGAATTATCTTAAAATATATATTGCTATTATTATCAGTGACAGGTACAGTCAGTTTCCCTTCCATCTTCATTCACTTTCTTATTTATCCTAAAGAAATAATGGTATTGTTGAAGACAATGTGTTAAACTAAGTGAGTCAATTTCCTGGCTCAATGGCAGCTGGATATTTAAAGGTGTGATAAAGTTCTTCCATAATAATATGTACATGGAAATATTCTTGGTGGGACTTGTAGCCGTTGTTGGATTACATGCCATGTGTCATCAAAATAGTACATGCCATGTGTCATCAAAAATTTTGCCCTTTACTATTCTCCTGCCTGGAATAACAAGCAAATTCATAGAGGTGCCACAGACATCTTGCTAACAATAAAACAGAAGCCATAAGTAAGAAAGTAATTAACCTGGATGCTTGGGGCCCTGAGAAATTATGATCGTAATCTTAGATTTTCTATTTCTGTACTTCTATAATTGTAAAATACAGTATATAATATACTCACTATAACCACTTCCATAGTCTCATAACTTAGCCAGTTTCATTTTTCCTTTGACAACATTAGGATGGATCTATGACTTTGGACAGATTTTTTTTTTCCATTTGTGATTTGGTATATATATATGAAAAAATATGTGTGTGTGTATATATATATATGTGTGTGTGCATGTGTGTGTATTTATGTCTCTTCCATATTGAAATATAAAAATACAATATCCTCTATCATGTCTGCATTTCCTTTTTGTCTGACTCATATTTCTCATTTTTCCTTCTCAATTAAGCTTCTTGAGGGTCTTCCAAGTGAAAGTCTCTGCTTCATTTTCCTCATCTCTCCACTATTCAGCCATCATAACTGATTTAACATCCTACCATTCTATAATTTCTGCACTCACACAATCAATAAAAATGTCCAAGTTCATGACGCATTTTTTTTCTCTTAATATCTCAATATCCCTTCAGCATTTGGTACAACTAACTCCATCTTCTTTTTGATATTCTTTTCCCTCTTGGCTTCCCTTATATCTCTCAGCCTTCTTAGTCACCTAGATTATATCTCTTCCTTCACCATTTGAAAATAGTTTCATGTGAGCACTCTCTAAGCCCCAACATATAACACTGCCAATCAGAATACCTTTTAGATCTAGGTAACTGAGGCCCTTGCCCTAAGCCCCACAGTTAGGACTGTCTATCCATCCTCTGATTGCCTGTTTTACCATGGAAGACAGAACCAACAGAGCGAAAAGGCATGCCCTTTGTCTTCTAGGCCATACTCCCAGTAACTGAGACCTTGAGCTTTGAATAGTCTTTCTATTTTTAATCTAGTATCCTGTTCATTGTCATAACCCACATGAGGAAAAGATACTAAATGTCTTATTATTTAAACATGAAAGATGAACTATTTTTCTGGAGAACATTTTGATCTTAGAAAAGAATAAAAATATTGTTGGAGAAAAAAAATGAAAAGGAAAAGACAACCCATTATTTAGTCTTATAATATTAAGCAGGAGATAATTTGAAGAGAGCAGACTAGGCCTTAATATTTAATTTTAATAAATGGAAGCATTAGGAAAGCATATTTGGAAAATAATTATTGCTTTGAGTCTTGAAGGAAAAATAAGATATTTCCAGTGGTATGTTAGCAAGCCCAAAATGCACAGAGACTTTTATATCTTCCAAGGACCTTGGTCTTTATCCTGTAAAATTTGTAAGTTCTGTCAGTGAGTGGTAGGGTCAGAAACTCTTAGATTTTTTTGTAATAAAATGTTTCAAATTCCAACTATTAATCAATTTTTATTTAGGCTGAGATTTTGAAAACTCTATTAATTCATATTGCTTCAATGAAATAAACTTCAGAAGCAAAGGCATGATATTTAATCTGTAGATTGTGACATGGGAGTAGGCAAAGTAATATTAAAATTGTATTAAATAAAGTAAAATTTCCAACATATCTCACTTACCATAACTATTCAAATATCAACCACCATGATGGATATAAAATAAACATCTTAATGATTCTGGCTTCTGCTTTGGCACATATATGTGTACAGGAATGTTATTAAATGTTGCATCTCAGTTACATTTTCATCTAATGTTGGTGGCACCTCTAGAAAGAAAGATTGAAGAGAACATCATAGATTCCATAAAGTGGTTTAGTTTTGACATCTCAGCAAACAAGGCCTAAAATAAAACATGTATACATACACATATACATTCTCAGCATCAAAAATATTCTTGCACAAAGAAATACACATTAATATTCGACATGATCCAAATTAAATTATAATCTTTTGGAAAAATTATAACACTAGAAAATACAGAAGTTCAAATGCTGTAATCATAAGACTTACTCTAAGCAAAACTAATCCTCATTTATGCATTACTCAATAGGGATACCATTATGGGTCTAAATAATGGGCCTGTGGGTATAATTCTGTGCTAACTACTGTGAATATTAAGCAGAACCAGGCAAATTCCTCATATTCAAAAAACTCAGAGCCAAGTGAGGTCATAAATTACAAAATAATGTCTTATTATAGGTATGAACAAAGTTCTTTGGGATAATTGCAAGGACATGAGAGAAGAAAAAGAGCTTTTAACTTGGAGTTGAACTGGAATTTGAAGAGAAATAACAGTTTGAACAATCAATTGAGCAGAAGGCCTTTCAGGTAGATTCAATGAGCTCAGCCTCGAGAAAACAGAAAACATTGTGTCAGAGAAGAAAAGGTCTTCTTCTATCCCTAAACTTCTAGAGCTCACCAAAGTGAGTGGAAGGAGAGAATCCTTAAGAAGAATTTATTAAAATACATATACATTAAGGAAAACCAAAAAACATCAGAAACCATGATAGAAATATTGATAAATCCAATTTGTTTAAGATTAAGGATTTATGTTAATCAAACTATCCTGTAAAATGATTGAAAAGACAAGCCACAATGTGGATAATAAAATCTATAATACATATAAATAAGAAAATATTAGTGTCTCAGATATATAACAAACTCATAAAAATTAGAAATAGACCAACAACTCAACAGAGAAAGTGGGCAAAAGATATCAACATATTTTGAAAGTCCTAGAATTGTTGGGATTTCAAGAAAAATAATCTACTCATTTTTAAGTAAATATATCAAAAGGAAGGACAAGATGTTTTAATCTTCACTTCCTTCTGTAAATTTTATTTAAATGATGGTAAAAGAGAAATCTTAATACAATGATGTTAAGGAAGAGAAATATATTCATATAAACTTCTAAAAAAAGGACTATTACCAAGGATGAATTCATTTCATAATGACAGAAAATCCAGTTCTCTAAGGTGACATAGCAATCCTAAATGTGTGTATACATAGTAACAGAAGTTTATGAATACATGAAGCAAGAACTGAAAAAAAAAAATGAAATGAGAGATTGTAATATCCAACCTTATTAATGAGAGATTAACACTCCTATCATTAATTAATAGAAAAAGTAAGCAGAAAAACAGAAAGCATACAGAAAATTATTTCTTGTACAATCTTCACAAGGTATAGGCAATGTTAAACATTAAAATTCCATTGTATAATGTATATTTTAAATTAATTCAGAGTTACATAAAACTGATTTGTTTAAAGAGATAAATCTTAAAAATTTATTTCACAAGAACCAGCTGCTCCAAATGTACTAAAATTTGTTTTAAAATAATTTATCAGAAATATATTCCCATGTTTTCACAGCCTATAAAATACTCTTCATAGCTCTAACTAGCAGTTGCATCAGAAGAATAATCTTTTTTCAAAATTAAAAATTATCAAAAATTATGATCTTGCATTTGCCAAGAGCAACTGATTTCACTTTCTATTATATCAATTGAAAATGAAGTTGCTGAAAAATATAATTTGAATGACCTAATAAATGAATTTACAAAAATGTAGGCCAGAAAAATCTTACAATCAATCAAGGTATCACATGGATAAATTGTTAGTATTTATTGCATTATATAAAATGATATCAACATATATTTTTGTATTTATAACTTTATGGTATATTCATGTGTCACTATTACCCTTGCTATATTTTATAAGTAATAAAATTTTTAAAGGAAAAGACATTATATTTTAATATTTTTAACTGCATTTTTTCCTGCCTTTTGAACAAGGTTCTTTGCATTTTTATTTTGCACTGGGTTCCACAAATTATGTAACCAACTCTGATATGCACTTTATATGCACATTTAATGATATGGGTACACAGACAGGAGGTAGGCTATTATGATGCTTGTCTAATGGAATTTGATAGCCTTTATCGTGAACATCAGTGCACTTATAAAAACTGCAACAAAGCTAGCAGTTACAATGGTGAAGACATCTCATACTTCCTTAGCCTGTGCAAACATTCCCAAATTTGGCACACAGTAGTAGCATTATACCTAAGGACTAACCGTGGAAGAGAAAAGTTCTGTTCTCTGAGCTTCTTAGGAAGAGTGTAAGGGCTCTATGACTAATAGCTTTTGTGCCCTGTCATGAAATTAGCAGTCAAAACTGGTCCTTTCCCAGTTCACAAGTGTCTTCTGCTTTCCTTCACATAACCTGTAGCCCTGCTAGTGACAAGAGCTGTGCTGTGTGCTGTCAATAACGTTTTACATTTGAATGGCTGTAGTGATGTGCTGCATTGATTTACAGCAGGTTTAGTCCTAGTTTAGCAGGTTTAGTGTTTTTCTGCAGCTCTACAGGTAGGTTTATTTGGTGGCCTCCTTATTCCTCAATATTCAGTAACAGTGTGCTTCATAAATTTTACTTTTATAGGTCAGTCTATTTCACCTACATGAGATACAACAAATTTCTTGCCTCTCTTTTCAATTAGAACCATTCAGTGTCCATAATTACAGATATACCAAAGCCTGATATTCCAAGTTTGTGGCCAGATTCCAGAATTCTTAAAAAGAAAGATATTTACTAAGAAGCTCAGATGAATTTGGCAAGAAAAATATAAATCCAAACTGGAATAATTTTTCAAGTTCTGAGAAAAGCTTTGATTTGCTACCAGAAACAATCATTAGTACCTTTTAGAGTCACACAAAATCTAGATTTTGATTACAATTTAAATTCTAAAAGTATTTTCCTGAACAATTTTGGAAACTTTATCACAGCTGAAAGTTTGAAAGTCATCAACATTACCTGACTGGGTTAATGTTTCTTTAAATGCAAGTGAAACTTTAAATATAAGGAAAAATTTCAGAATTCAGGTTCATAGTAGGCTCCTGTGATCGTTTTCCAGTGTTTTTGAGTATAGCACTTCAAATTGCCATTTTTGCTCTCATTTTTGGCCACCTGTTCTGCATTTAAGGAAAATCAACTCATTTGTATCGAACACACCACCATTGTTTTTTTTTAAGAGCAGACTATGCTACTCAACATCCATACCTTTATCTTACAAATCCTCATAGATAATGTAGGAAGCATTTCCTTTCAGCTCTTTCTTAGATGCCTGACTTGCATAAATCTTTTATATCAACCTTAAATCACTAGGGCTTTTCCAAGAAATGATACCGGATAGCAAATTGGAGAAAAGTAAAGTTTGATTAATAGTTCTCACTATTTAGTAACATAAATTCCAATAGGAACAAATATTTAAATATTAAAAGGAAGCCATGAATACCCTGGAAGACAGCATGGGTGAATTCTCCTATAACCTTATAGAAGACCTTTATAGCTATGAATCAAATTCTAGAAGTTAAAAGTTGATAAAGTATAATTTTAAAAATTAAGAATAGTAAAAAAAAACTTTATCATGGCCAACTTATGTAATAAAGGCAAAAGACAATCTGTGAACAAAATCTATATTTTCCTAGTTTAGAAAAAATTTTTTTTAAAAACCCAGTTAAAAGTTAGACAAAGAAGCTTTTCAGAATTAAGAAAAAGAAATGCAAATGACTCAAACAGATTCTAAAACTTACTCTTAATAAGTGACATATTAAATAAAATTATACTAAGATGTCATTTCTCATTTACATTGAAAAACAAAATCCAGAAAATTATAACATTCTTCTTTGAGAAGCTGACAGGACATAGATATCTCATGTCTTGCTTGTGGGAGTGGCAATTATTAAAGGATAATTCTGCAGAGAATAGCAAAATTACAATTGGTCAAACAATTTAACTTCATGGATTTATTATTGACAAAATCCAGCCTCCAAATGAAGTATGTTATTCATGTAATACTGTTTTATTGTCTGTAACAACAAAACACTAGAAAGAATAAAAATTCCCATCTGATTAAATAAACTATGGTTTATGCATATATTGAATCCTATGCAGCTGTGTAAAAGAATGAGGACGATTTACATGTGAAAATGTAGAAACATCTATAGGATATATGATTAAATGAAAAACATAAAGACCATAATAGGATACATGTGATGCTGTTTCTTGCTTAAGAAAGTGGGATAAGAATACATGCTTTTAAATTACTTGTATTGTAATTACTGGTATTACTTTTATGAAAAATCACCTGGATGGATCACAAGACGCTAATAAAACTGATGACCTATGGAGGCCTGGTTGAAAATAGGATGGCTGAAGTTAGGAATGGAAGCAGGATGCCTCACCGTATTATACTTTTTTCGTATTGTTTCGATTTTTGAACTATATGAATGTATTACTATTCAAAAAATAACATTTATTTAAAATTATTTTATAAATATGAGGTAGGCTACATAAGAAGGAGTGAGCTCTCCACTCCTGGAATGTGCATGTGAAGGGCTCTTCCTGTCTAGCAGTTTCCAATATTTACCACGAAACAGTCCTGCTGATAATAGTTAAAAGTTATTCTATGTAGAGACAGAGACAGAGTGAGACAGAAAGAGATTGACAAAGAGAGAGACAGAAAAAGTTAATATTGTACTGAGAGAGTTTGAGTGGTCTTTCTCAATGAAATAGTCTAGGGAGGCATTCATTCTGCCATAGCTATTAACCACATCTCTCATAGCTTTTATCATACATTTTTCAGTCAACGAATCTATAGTATATTCCATAAGAACTTACATGTCTACAGTATATACACCAAATCCACTATTAATGCTTAAGTGTTATAGATAATTACAGAGTAGCTCAAACACATGACTTCTGAGTTTTGTCTGAAATTTTAAAATCACACTTCAGTATGACTTTAGGGTGGTGAGCAGGTGGGGGGGGAGGAGGGGAAGGGTGTGTACTTACATAATGGGTGTGGTGTGGACCACCTGGGGGCTGGACACGCTTGAAGCTCTGGCACAGCAGGGGGTGGGCAGGGGTAATATACGCAACCCTAACAATATCTGTACCCCCATAATATAATGAAATAAAAGAAAAAAGTATCAGATATTTTTTATGACCTTACTGCTACTAGAAAAGATCATTTTGTTATAAACATAACCTGAATACTTCCTTGTTGTTTACCTTGTTAGTGGTATGCTTTTGGATCATACTGGGGTATAATAAAGAAGCCAGCAAAATTTGACAATAGAAAACCAAAGACATTAAAAAAAAAAAAACAACAGAATCCTGAAAAACTTGTCTTTCTTGAACAATAAAATTTTTCACTTACCCAATATGATGACTTTTCATAACAGCATTATTTTCCATGGCTCCTCAACATTATCTGGGAAGTATGTATAAATATAATATGCTATGAGGACTCCTAATGTCAGAAGTTAAAAAAATTTTTTCCCATATTGTTACTCTGTTTCTTCAGCAAGAGAGCATTATAGGTTATTTCAACACCTGAAATTAAATAGACATTGGGCAAGCCCCATTCAAAAGTATTATCTATCTTCCTAGC